GAAGAGGGGGTGGTGCGCACTGGGGCCAAAAGCATGGGGCGCGGACGAGCGGGGGCCTTGGAGAGTGTTGAACAAAGAAGCAGAAGAAGAACAAACATGATAATAATAATAATAACAATAATAATAATAATAATACTAATAATAATAATAATAACAATAATAATAAGAATAATGATAAGAATTATAATAATAGTAATGTCAATGATAAGGATAAGAGTGATAATAATCATATGAATTATACGAAAAGAATGATAATACTCATGGTCGCATGATCATAGACATCACAACTACTGATAGTACTTATAGAAAAATACATATGATACGAATAGGAATGCGAATACGAATGCGAGTACACATGCGAATGCGAAGAGCAATCATGAGAACAAGAAAACAATACCAAATACAACATAACAAGAAACAATGGTAACCATCAGTGTTATGACGAAGAGGGCGAAAAATACGAATACGAAAATAATAACAATGTAAATATCGGAAAACTACTACTAAGAATAAGAAGAGGAAGAGGAAGAAGACGAAACATAAGAAGAAGATGACGAAGAATAAGAAGAGGAAGAGGAAGAAGAAGAAGAAGAAGTCACAGTCCTGACCCCCTGTCGGGCGCCTGGTGTTTTCAGGACGCCACACCCCGTCTCCGGCGGCCTCTCACGGGACGATCTGGGCACACCTGGGGGGCCGCTCCTGGCGAGGCGCGGCTGCGGCTGAGCATCCGGAGGCTGGCAAAACCCCAGGGAGCCCACGAAAACGCCAGCAAAGAACCTCCCTGGACGAGGCCCTACACCTCGCGAGCGATGGGAAACGCAATTTTCCTTCAAAAACCGCACTCGATGAGCCACAATAGCGTCTCCCATAACTTCAAGCTATGGGAAACGCAATCCCGGACGACTGCCGCCCTGTAGTCCCTCTGGCGCCCCCGATGATGCCTCACCTGGAAGTCTGGGCCCCTCCCGTTCCTGTCGGCCCCTCGGACCTCTCATGTGGGCGGTTTCGGAGACCTTGAACCCAAAATTGTTTTCATCTCTTGGGGGACATTTTCTACTTCCGACGAGCTTCCGCCGCCCTTCCGCTGCCTTCCGCCGAGGAAGAGATGACAACTCCTTCGACCCTTGAAGGCAAGGCCCTTTCTGAAACGCCCCATGTGGTGCTTGCAGCCTGCCGAATCTCTCTGGAAAACCTGGCCTCATGGCGACAGGGACGCGCTGGCAGTCCCAGCCAAGGCCCCGAACCGCCAGGAAGCCTACGGCCATGGATTTTTGCTGGGCGTGTCGCAGCGGCGCCCCTGGCGGCACGCTACGTCTTGGCGAGCTGATAGCGTGTCGTTCCGCTCCGTGGGGCGGGAGGCTGGCAGGAGCTCGAGGAAATGACGCTGTGCGCTGTGGGACCGGATCGTGCTTAGCATTCGGCGCCGCAGCGTGGTGAGCCAGAACCCGCGGCGCCACACGCCTCCTCCTCCTCCTCCTCCTCCTCCTCCTCCTCCACCTCCTCCTCCTCCTCCTCCTCATCATCATCATCATCGTCATCATCATCATCATCCCCCTCCCTCACCGTCACCACCACCACCATCCTCCTCCTCCTCCTCCTCCTCCTCCTCCTCTTCCTCCTCCTCGTTGTCCTCAACACATCATGTTGTTCGCCCCCGCCGTCCGTCACAATCATCCTCCTGTCCTCATCGCCATACGCATCGTCATCATCATCATCATCATCATCATCATCATCATCATCATGAGGTCGCGACCCCGGAAAGCCTGACGCCCCGAAGCACGAGGGGAGGAGGAGGAGCAACAACAGCAGGAACAGGACAAGGATAAGGGAGGGGGAGGAAGGAACATGAGGGAGGCAGAGCAGCGAGGAAGGATGGCGGAAGAAAATGGGAAAAGAGGGGGCGAAGGGAGGAGTAGACAAAGGGGCGCCGCTGTCCCCCTCAGTTTTCCCTCCGTGTCCCTGTTTCTTGCGTCAGAAAGAGGTTGCAGTTGTAGGATACCAAGCCGCAAACGCACTGCCAGGAAAGCTAAATGCAACCGAGAAGAAACTGAGTGCAACTGAAGGAAACTGAAAAGAGGGGGCGAAGGGAGGTGTTGACAAAGGGGCGCCGCTGTCCCCCTCAGTTTTCCCTCAGTTTCGTCTCAGCTCCTTGCGTCAGAAAAAAAAACTGCAGTTGTAGGATACCAAGCCGCAAACGCAGTGCCAGGAAAGCTAAATGCAACCGAGAGGAAACTGAACGCAACTGAAGGAATATGAATGTAACTGAAGGAAACTGAGTGTAACTGAGGGAAACTGAGTGTAACTGAGGGAAACTGAATGTAACTGAGGGAAACTGAGTGTAACTGAGGGAAACTGAGTGTAACTGAGGGAAACTGAGTGTAACTGAGTGTAGCTGAGGGGAACTGAGTGTAACTGAGGGGTCCGAACCGGCTCCGTCCGACGCCGCGCGCGGCCACAATGTATCCCTGAGCCTCCGTGCGTAGAGCTGCGATCTTGGATTTCATCAGTGCTCGAGCTTCTTGAGGACTGTCCGTATCGCGAAACCGTTTGGAGTTTGACTTCCTCTTGCTTCTATGCAGCTTCCTTTGGAGTGTCTTCGGCTTGCCTTTACCTTAGATCCAGCGTGTAGCTGGCTTACCTGTGGTTTCTTGTCTGCACCATGTCATCAATTTGCCTGCAGCTTGTCACAAGTTTGCTTTGAGTGTGCCATCGGTTCGACTGTAGCTTGCCAGCGGCTTCTCTTTCCACTTGCCGTTGACCAGAGGCTGGATCTCGATGCTACGAGCGCCTACAGATCTTAGCTCGAGGGGCGTGCGTAGGTTCTTCAGAGGTCCGATTAGAATCTCCTCATCCTACTCCTCATCCAGCCTCGCCGTATCCTGAAACGCGGCCCAGGCTGTCCCAGCAGCAGGGCAGCTCAGCAACGCTGGTCTTACGCAGGGGGGCCAAATCAGGAAGGGCCTGACCAGGATCGACGTGGTGTACGGTTCTTTTCCTCCAAGAGACTCCATGTTTTCAGAAGCTCCAATGCCCCAGAAAATCAGCCTGGCGAAGGACCCAACCCTGTGCAGCTGCGAGCAATGCAGGATATGGCCCACTCCTCATAGGCAACACGCCGCGAGAGGGATGGGCCACAGGGCAGTGCGGATGGGAGCCACGAAGCGTGTGATGGGTGTGCCGAATTGGGAGGTGGTGCCGTGCGGACCCTGCCACTGGGGCCTGAGGTGGAGCTCCCTGTGAGCCCACGAGACGTGGGCTCAGGTGGAGCTCTCTGTGCGGCGACGTTGATCCTCCCACTGGCAGCAGGCGGAGCTCCCTGTGGGGCACGCTCCTACATATGGGCGTGCCCGCGTGAGGGGTGTGCCAGAATGGACGAGGGAACCGCATGTGGACGAGCTGCGCGTGGGGCCACGAGGCGCGCGAGGAAAGCGCCGAAATGGGCGGGGGGACACCACGTGGACCCAACCACTGGGGCATTCGGTGGAGACCCTGCCAGGCCACGAAGCGTGCGCGGGGTCCCGAGGAGGCCAACATCAGAAGCCAACCAGAAGCTCCAGGACGCCCCCAAGAGGCCCCCCTAAATGCCTCAAAGAGGCTCCCGACGACACCCCACAACCGCCTCCAAGAGGCTTCTGGGATGCCTCTCAAGAGATCTCCACAGGCATCCAAGAGGCCTCTGGCCCACAGCCAAGACACGGTGGCGGGATGGGCTGAAGTGTGCCGAGATGGTGGGGGACCACACGTGGACGCACCCACTGGGACCGTCGGTGGAACCCCCTGTGGGTTCACGAGGAGAGGGAGGGGTGTGCCGAGATGGACAGCGAGGGACGGAGGTGGGGCCCTGGGCGCTGCGGCTTCAAAACGAGAACCCAATTCCACACAGGAGGGCTGGAAAATAGGTGGCCACTCCTGAGCCGGCTCCTCTCAGGCCGTCCGGGCCCTCAGTGGCAGAGGCATCGCGCAAGCTCCGCACCAAGTCCGCAACATGTGGCAACATCTTGGGGCACGAGAGCCCCCTGAAACTGTTAAAAGGGCCCAAGGACACACAAATAGATAACACAAATCCCATGACCCCCCGTGTTTCCCCATACTTGCCGGGTTTTCGTCGTCACCCCCGCTTCCCATATCTTCCCATGTTTTCCTGGGAATCGACGATTCACTGTGGCTGTGCGTTGAACCCCTCCCGAGCTGTGCAGGACGCTTAACTCTGCTGGACCGCCCAGGGAGGGGGGAGAGAGCAGTGCTGGACTCCGCACTCCGCCTCTGCGCAGGACTCCGAGAGGCGCGGAGGGGTGGTGACGGGTGTGCACTTGGCAGCGCCCGGGGAGGGGTGAGGGCTCCAGTTCGGAGGGGACGCACAGAGACATACCAATACTGCGTGCCCTCATTGGAGGCACGCGTCCGACCCGAGCACACAGTCTGCCCATCTTGTAGTAGATCGTCTCCCGAGCGGTGTGGCCAGAGAGCGCCCGCCACGACGCATGTGCTAGAAGTTTCCTCGGTGCGCGCCTCGCCCCAGGGGGGGCAACGCACACACAGTATCAGTATGTTGGGGTGACGCCGATTGAATGTTCGTTTGGCAGCACCGGGAGGCGACGGTGCCAAATTGAAATCTGCGTAGGGCTCCTTGCCTTCCTCCTCCTCCTTGCCCTCCTCGTCCTCGCCCTCCTCGCCCTCCTTGCCCTCCTGGTCCTCCTCGCCCTCCTCGCCCTCCTGGTCCGGCACTCAGCTCAACCGCTACAGGGAGCGCAATCGCTCCCTCCTTTCCCCCCCCCATCGCCTCTAATGCCTCCTTCCCCTGTCGGCTGGCGTTCCGTCGCAAGGCCAACATCGTCACTGTCGCTCTGCCTCTCTTCAGCGCGCCAGGTGAATTCTGCGCCACGGCAAGGATGGTGGCAGGACGAGAGAAAGAGTTCCCTAAGTTCACCTGGCGCAGGCTTTCACGGAACGTCACAAAACGTACAACGGCATCGAAACACTATGAGATTGAACATGTCTCTGGCTGCACCAACACTCCCCCATTGTACAAGACTCATGGGACATTCGTTACAGTTTGAAAACTGCTTGCTCGCACCCGCGAGGACGAAGCTCCGCGTGGCGCTGCCACCGTGGCCAATACCGGAGCCGTCCTCACCACTGCCGTCGCATTCATCATCGCCTCGACGGTCCACGAAACCCTCGCCGCACCACGCAGCACTCCAACCGCTTCCTCCTCCCCTTCCCCTCCCCCTCCACCCTGCTCTTGCCTCGTCCCCCCTGGGAGGGAGAGGAGAGCGGGAGAGAGGGGGGGGGAAGGGGGATCGGCGGGTGCAGCGGGGGTCTCCGGGGTGGCCCTCCCAGCCTGCCCACTGCCTCGCACGTCTCTGGGCACGTCGGAGCTGCTCCGCAGCCGGCCCACAGTTGGGCGGCCGGAGAAGGGCAGGCAGCGACGAAATGACCCCCTGGCCGTGCTGGGCGAGTGCCGTTGTAGAACAGCTGTTAACAGAAAATCACAGGCAATCCTGGTCAATCAAAGCATCCCCTCACCTGGCCCGACGGCGCACGCAACTTGCCCGACTGCTGCCAAACACTGACAGTGAGCTTCCAGCTATTTCTCGGCGAACAGTGCGTCGCACGCTGCCAGTGCCAAGCAGCTGCGAAGAAGCATGTCCCGGCGAAGCAGCTACCCCAGAACCATTACAGCTGCAAAGCATGTCCCGGCACCACCATATCGCATCCGTGCGGGTGGCGCTTCATACTTCGCGCTGCCATTCACTACAACTGCACGTGCACGTCTGGCACAACATCTATCAATGCGAACTAAACCTAGCTTGGTTACTAAAGCCAAGCGGGTTGCCGCACAAGGGGTGGATTGTCTTCCAGGGATGAAAGGCTTGGAGCTTCTGTATCGTCCTGTTTGTATGCACACCATCATCGGCCTGTACGTCACGGACGGGCCTGTAGCCGATGAGAAGTTTGGGATGAGGTGGTATTCCACATATGTTGTAGCCTCAGTGTTCGTTTCGGTCCCAGCTCAAACTGTAGCTGTGGGATCAGCTCGAACTCTAGATACCCGTCCACCTTCCAGCTCGACCTTGATCCATGACTACTGCGTTCACTGCCAGCCACCGTGCCCCCTAGTACGTAGCGTAAGTGCATGATGCCGAGGCTGTCTGGCAGAGCTTCTCTGGTTTGCAAACGGCCCACTCTTCTTGCTTGCGCCTACCTGCGAGCACCACACCCGTCTGCCCAGGCTCCTACGGCAAACCGGCGCCACCCAACGCCTCCAGAATGCCTAGTAGGGCTGCCAAGACGGTCGAAGAAAACCACCGAGGCCACCAAGATAGCCAACGTTTGCCTCAAGAGTATCCAATAACCTGCAAGAAGACTCCAAGAAGCGCCCAACCGAATCCTAGTGGCGCCCAGGAAGCCCAACGAGAACTCCAACAAGCCTGCCAGGAGGCCCAGAAGATGCAGGCACTTCCCCCACCCACCAATACGTGAATGTAACTGTATATACACATACACATATATACACACATGTCCGCCAGCTGCCTTGGGCGCCAACAGGCTGCGAGGCAGAGGTATTCCAGTTCCCTCCAGCAGCTCCTGCTCCCAGATTATAGTCATGTTAGCCTGCGTGGATCCGAAACAGTGTGCTTCTAGCGATATATGTGTTGTGCAAGATATGTGGACCAATCTATGGTGTGCTACCTATGTGGTGCAATGGTGCTATCTATGTTGTGCAGTGCATGTGGTGCAGCATTTGCAATTTAAGGTATGTTGTGCAAGTTATGTGGCGCAGTATAAGGGGTGCAAAATGCGTGGTGCAATTTGTGTTGTACAACAGATATGGTGTAATATGTCTGGTGCAACTTATGTGGTGCAAGACATGATGTGCACTCTACGTGGTGCAGTATATGCTGTACAATCCATGTGGTGCAAACGATGCGGTTTAATATATGCTGTGAGCGCTATATGAGGCAGTCTAAGTGGTGCAACAAATGGGATTACATTTCTGTAGTGCACTCTATGTGGTGTAATGTATGTGGTGCCATCTGCGTGGTGCGATAGTTTGTGCACTCTACATGGTGCAATATATCTTGCGCCATCCATGTGATGCAGTCTTTTCGGTTCATTATCTGTTGTGCAAGCGATGTGGTGCAATGTATGTGGTGCAATCTATGCGGTGCTATCTTTGTTGTGCAATATATGCGGTGCTATCTAAGTTGTGCAGTCTAGGGCGGCGACGAGGCGACGACGGGGCAGCGACGGCGACAACATAGCCGCCAGACCGACAGACAGGCCCAGACGACGGGCGGCGACGAGGCGGCGACAGGGCGAAGACGGCGACAACATAGCCGTCAGACCGATAAACAGGCCCAGACGACGGGCGGCGGCGAGGTGGCGACGGGGCGGCAACGGCGACAACATTGCTGTCAGACCGAGAGACAGGCCCGGTTCCGTGGAGGAAAATCAAATTCTCTGAATGCAAGCATTGTTTGGGGAATGAATGTAAACCTTAGTAAATTACAACAAGATTGCGCTCCTCACGCGTCAATCCTCAATAAAGTACGCCAGGTCACAATTCTTACTATATTACGCCAAGGTCACCATCCCGAAGCCACAATCCCTTTTGAATTACACCGGGTTCGCGTTCACAAGGCCACAACCCTTCGCAAAGTACAACGAAGTTGCGTCACCGAACACACAACGGTTCGTAAATGACCACGCGCTGGCGTTCCCGAGGCTACAACCCTTTGTAATTTACTCCATGCAGGCGCTCCCCAAGCTAGAACCCCTTGCAAATTACACCCGGCTCGCGCTCCCGAGACCACAACGCCACGCGCCTAACTACGCAGTGGTGCTCCAAAGGCCACGATCCAGCATAGCTGCGCCAGGCAGGCACTCCCAAAGCAGTGCCCCCTCGTCAATTACGTTAGGCTCGCGCTGTCCAAACCAGACTCCCTTGCACATTACCCGACATCTTCGCTCTCGAAGCCACAACCCCTTGCAGACCACTACCCGCCCGGGATCCCGAGGCCCCTCTTCCAAAACAGAAAAACGGTCGTTCTCTGCACACGGATTGCGTTCGGATGCTCTGAACCCCCGCCGTTTCCCACGAGTTCTGTTCGGGGCTCGAAGTCAACGAATCCGCGCTGCCGAAGCCTCGAGCCTTCGCAAAATACAATTGAAGCGCGCTTCCGAGGCCACCTAGATATATATATATATATATATATATATATATATATATAGATATATAGGTGTGTAGACATGTGTATATATATACTCACAAATACACATGTTCACATCGATAAGTTATACATATGTATATACACATATCAAAATATCATCCTGCTCCCTCTTCCTACACCATCCTGCCTTTTCCCTTTCCTCCTGCTTCATCATCCTGCCTCCTTCTCCTTCTCGTCCGTTTCCTCCTGCCTCATCCTCCTCCTCGTTTTTCTCCTCTTCCTCCTCCTCGTCCTTTCCCTCCTCGTCCTCTTCCATTTCCTCCTTTTGCCTCTCCATCCCGCCCGATTTCCTTCTGGCCGGGGTACGCATGTCGATTTCCTCGGCGCCCTCGCCGGCATAGCCTGCATGCACGCGTTCTCCGATGGCCAGATCACGAACCCGTTGGGGCAACCCCGCGGGCCAGGCCGTGGGGACAATCACGCGGGCCGCTGGGGCGCGGGAGCAAGTGGTCGGGACAACCCCGCGGGCCTCGAGCTGGGCGCCGCCGCGCTCAAGCGGGAGGCAGCGCGAAGCATAGCTCTGCCGCGACCTCCGCCTCAGCCCTGGAGCTCGCAGCCCTCTTGTCGAACATGGAGGTGGGCCCACCAAAGGGAGGGATCCCGCTGGAGACTTCCTCGCGGGTCACTCGCAGACAATGCCCCAACTCGAGATGTCCTCCAAATTCAAGCCTGAGGAGCCCAAAGGTGACGACAGTTCTAGGAATCAGATAACCCGCTCGGATTCAAAGACGGAGGTGGGAACCCTACAGGGAGGGGCTCCCGCTCCAGATTTCCTTGCGATTCACACACCAACGACGCCCCTGCTCGACACTTCCTCCAGATTCAGGCCTGAAGAGACCAGAATTGTTGAAGACACTTACAGATTTAAGGATGGCCACCTGGTCAGATAAAGAACTTAATCCAACGGCCCCATAGGGAAGAGGTTCCCCCCCCGCAATTCACTCTCGTGGGCCGTCTTGGAGCGATCTGCAGGGCGTCCCAGGTCGTGAGGGAGCATTGGGAAGCGGGAAAAGCGAGAACGCCAAAATCCTCCAAAATCCTCCAAAACCCTCAGATGATGTATGAATTTTGCCTCCCAGAGCCCTCTTGGGGAGCCTCCTGAGGCCGTCCTGGAGCGTGTTGGGGTCCTCGTCGGCCGTCTTGAGGGCATCTTGGGCGTCTTCGGGGCCTCTTGAGCACGTCTTGAGCCCACTTGGGACCCCCTCAGCCTGTAGTGGCCCGTTTCGGGGCGGGCCCAGGTCGTCTCGGGAGCGCTGGGACCCCTCCAAAACCCCCGGGGGGCGCCCATGGGGGTACAGGCACCGGCCTGCGCCCCCCCCTCCTACTCCAATACATATATATATATATATATATATATATATATAGATATGCAGTTGTGTGAACATATGTATATATCTACATATATACAATATATGTATATATATATATATATATATATATATATATATATATATTAAAAAATATGTGTATATATATATATGTATGAGTATGTCTACGTGGTTCCCCCCCTGAGATCATACATTGTATCTTCAATCGTAGTCACGTTCATCATCGTCTTACTCATATTTCCCTTCTCTTCTTCCGTCCTCACCCTCATCTGCTCCCCACTGTTCGTCCACATCCCTCTGCTACCATCTTCTTGGATAGACCAGAAAGGGACTCGATTGGAAAGCCTCACAACAGGAATCCTTTGGAAAGCACCACAAAGGGATTCGATTGGAAAGCCTCACAACAGGAATCCTTTGGAAAGCGCCACAAAGAGGTTCTACTGGAAAGCGTCACAACAATAATCCTTTGGAAAGCACCACAAAGGGATTCGATTGGAAAGCCTCACAGCCGGAATCCTTTGGAAAGCACCACAAAGGGACTCGATTGGAAAGCCTCACAACAGGAATCTTTTGTAAAGCGCCATAAAAGGATTCCACTGGAAAGCGTCACAACAGGAATCCTTTGGAAAGCACCACAAAGAGATTCCATTGGAAAGCCTCACAAAAGGCATACCTTGGAAAGGACCACGATGGGATTCTATTGTATTGATAAGCGCCACAAGAAGATTATATTGGAAAGCCTCGCAAACCTCCCCCAGCACCCCCAAACGACGGAGTGGGGAAGGCATCCTCCTCAGCACCCCCTCTTCCGCTCTCCCTCTCTCCCGCTCTCCCTCTCTCACGCTCTCCCATGATGATGAGTATGATGATGGTGATGATGATGATGATGATGGTGATGATGAGTCGATTGAAGTTTGCTTGGAATCTCCTCCAAATTCAATCGGAATTATCTCGATCTAGGATCACTTTCATGTCACATTGAAATCGTATCCGATCCCCATTCAAATTCAGTAGCAATCCTCTTGATCTGGGATCTGCTCCGTTTCCATTGGAATCATATGAGATTCCCATTCGAATTCAATCGGAATCCTCTTCATATGGCGTCTGCTCCCTTCCTATTGAAATCCTGCTTGTTCTATTATCGTACATATGCTTTTTGGGAGTGATGGAAACATACAGAGATAACTAGATAGAGAAAGAGAGGGAGAGAGAGTCGGGGAGAGTTCCTCTGTCTCATTCCCCTCCTCCTCCTCTTGTACTTGGAATTAGAGAGGAGAAAGAGAGAGAGAGAGAGAGATACGGTGAGATATCTATATATAAGAGAGGGGGGGGACGAGGGTGGGCTAGTTAATTCCTCCTTATTCCTCATGTTCCTCTCTCATCCGCCTCCGCCTCCTCCTCCTCCTCCTCCTCCTCCTCCTCCGCCTCCTCTTCCTCCGCCTCCTCCTCCTCCCCCTCCTCCTCCTCCTCCTCTTCCTCATCCTCCTCCTCCGCCTCCGCCTCCGCCTCCGCCTCCGCCTCCTCCTCCTC